GCTATGGACTGGCCCGCCCGTTCCCCAGACCTGAATCCGATTGAGCACATCTGGGACATCATGTCTCGCTCCATCCACCAACGTCAGGTTGCACCACAGACTGYCCAGGAGTTGGCGGATGCTTTAGTCCAGGTCTGGGAGGAGATCCCTCAGGAGACCATCCGCCACCTCATCAGGAGCATGCCCAGGCGTTGTAGGGAGGTCATACAGGCACGTGGAGGCCACACACAATACTGAGCCTCATTTTGACTTGTTTTAAGGACATTACATTAAAGTTGGATCAGCCTGTAGTGTGTTCTTTCACTTTAATTTTGTTTGTGGCTCCAATTCCAGGCCTTCATTGGTTAATAAATTTGATTTCCATTGATGATTTTTGTGTGATTTTGGTGTCGGCACATTCAACTTTGTACAGAACAAAGTATTCAATGAGAATATTTCATTCAGATCTAGGATGTGTTGTTTGAGTGTTCCCTTTATTTTTTTGAGCAGTGTACATAATGGACTATTGTGGTAATATAGGCAGTAAACTGCTTTATGTCCATTAGCATTAGCATGATTTGCATTAGAGAAGAATAAATTTTAGCCAATTTATTTTTTGAAATCCAAACTTTATTGGGAATTTTCTTGGATTAATGCTAATTTACAGATTAAATGGCCCACAGTCCAGACTTTGGTCTAATTAAATCAGATAGATTTGTATTTATAAAAGGATGGTTTTTTTTATTATAGTTTTGTCACTTTTACTGTAAAATATCCTCAGAAGAGCTGCTTTTCCAGTCTTTCTGGGTTTTTCTTGTTGAATATATTTTTATTTTTACTTGAGACAAATTTCTTTAGGGTAGAAACATGAAACCCACTGGAGTGGAGGTTAGTGAGGGAGAAATACAGACATCCAGAGGAGGGTGGAGGCTGGGCTGGGGGGTCGGAGGTGGTCCTGGCAGGGGGTATCAGGCTAATTAAAGCAAGCATTTGTCAGAGATTAAGCCTTAAACAGAAAAGGTCATCTGAGCACAAGAGTGCCACCGCTTCGCCGCCGTGCTCTAAGGGCAGTCTAAACCTTTCTGAGCTAAATGGTAAAGATGCTATTTGAAAAGTGGGGGGGAGGACAAGTGGAAGGGGGGGTTGGAGATCCCCACCAGTGACAAGACTGACACTCGGGTCATTGGTTCTTTACTGTCCATTACACACGCTGGTCAAATCTGGCAATCGGTGTCATTTAGGGATGAAAAATAAGCGGCGGGACGAGATCAATAGATGCAGCCGTCTGTAGCGGCTGTGATTAATTGACTGTCTCCAATTAATGACCGGCCTGTTGCAAAGCAATGCAATCTCAACAAGACAGAAGGTATTTCCCCTATTTTTAACCTGATGCTTATTTTCACAGAACACATTCATTAACCACTTTAATCTGGATGCTTCCGGTTAACTGGTACCAAGTATCCGGTGCTTTTTGAAGTCATTTAAGAAAATAAAAAACACTTCAGGGATGAAAAACGAAGCGRTGTCTTTTTGATGCACCTAACGGGCGACGGCAAACAATCAGAGGATCGTTGATGTATTTTTTTTTTTAAATCTGGGATCATCAGCGTACAAGGTTATTTTGCACTCAGTCAATCCTAATCGTATTAGATCCTGGGAAAGATGTCCTGATTTTAAATACGACGAAGAGCGGGACGTGCAGCTTCAGATATGAGTAATGGCCTCGCGGGGTTAAACTGTGGTACTAATACTTTTTTAGTCGGACCTATGCTAATATTAGACCACTTTGGAGCTAGTATTCATAAATCACTTACAGTTTTTTACCTGAGATAAAGACGCGCGAAAGAGAAATTATACAGGTACTCAGTGGGATGATGGGATTTTAAAAAGCAACAAAGATAAAAAAACAAAAAGTAAATATTTACATTATTTGTATTTGGAGATACAGCAGGAACAGTGTGACCTGCTACATAATTGTGCATTTATTTACTTAGCCTCACTCAGCACATG